GAGTGATTATTCAAAGTAGGGTATCTAACTATAGTGGTTAATTGTAAATATCTTCCGTTGTATTTTTTATTTAATTCGTATAGGCAAGAAAGCCGTACACAATTACTAAACAAAGGGAAAGATGGTCAGAAGAAGAGCATGAAAGATTTCTCGAGGCGTTGAAACTTTACGGTCGAAAATGGAGGAAAATCGAAGGTGACAACTAATTCTTTACCAATTGATGTCGGTATAATAAATGTATAAACGATGTATTCTGAACCGATTATTTTTTATTATTTTTTTTTTCCAGAGCATGTAGGTACGAAAACAGCCGTGCAAATTAGAAGTCACGCGCAGAAGTTTTTCTCCAAGGTTAACTGTTCTTACACCACTACACATTATCTATATGCTCTCCTTTTAAAGTAAGTCGTATTTCCGATTAAAAAAAACGCATTAATGGCTATAAAGATTCGATTTTTACGCGCAAAACCTTGTTGTGTTTAGGTTGACAATTCAATTGAAATACCGCCACCTAGGCCTAAGAAAAAGCCCACGAACCCTTACCCTCGCAAGACGGTTTCGATTATCGAGAAACCGAAATCGATGGTGTCAGCAGATTCGTCTGTTTTCGAACAGGAGAACCGGTCTCCTACATCTGTATTGTCTGCTTCAGATTCTGTTCATAATGAAGATGTCGTTCCTCCGGTAACGAGTCTTGATTTCTTTTTTTTTATATATATAATTAAAGCTATAATTATTGTATTTCATATGATCCAAATTCGTGCTCCTAAATTTCGTGTTTTAATTTGTCTATTCTAATAAAAACAGAAACTAGATATTGTTCAAGAGGGTCCAAAAGAAGAATTAGCCGCCAATATCCAATGCTTGAAGCTCTTCGGTAAGACATTATTAGTCACGCCCGATTTCTCAAACGGAAATGTACCGATAAATGCCTGTAATAATAATAATAATAATATTGGAAATGACTTTTTTAACCCTCACACGATGAGTGACGGTACAAACCAAATTATGTATAGTAGTACTTGTTCTCTGGTTCCTATGCCTTGGTTGACATTTTATGATGCGGGGCCGCTTTCGACTCGAGAATTGCATAACCCGAAACCGGTCAAAGCCCAACCGAACGAGGGTTCATCTTCGAGTGGTTCGAATATAGATTAGTTGGTGGATTATCAGAGAAGAGAGAGAAATTAGGTAAGAGAATTTCAGCAGATAGTGAAAAGGGGTTTGTGCCGTACAGAAGATGCTCGCAAGAGCAGGGGGAACAGCGGATTCGAGTTTGTAGCTGAAATGCTGATTCTTGTGTCTTAATTTAACTTTCGAGATTCGTTTCGCTCTGTAACTGTCGGTTTCTTTTCTATTACAAGAAGTTGTATAGTGTTTGTTGAGTGCAGTTTGGTTAAGTGATCGACACGGCCTCGGGTCTTAGTTGGTGTTTGCAAAAGCTTATTTAAAAGCATAAGTTAGTGATTGTGAGTTAAGTTGATATTAAGTGCTTAATATTAAAAGTTGAGGTTGTTTGCAAAAAATCTGAAAAATCAATTTAAATAGAAAAAACAGGTACATATGCGATTTTAAAATTAATACTTAAAGCAGTTTATTTTAAGATAAGCAAAAGCAAAAGTCAGTGTTACAAACACGTAAAAACTGATTATGAGAGAAAAAACACTCATAATTTATCTTTAGAAGCTTTTGCAAACACCATCTTAATCTTTTAGGGGTCACTAAAACAAATTTCAAAATTTCCTTAGTTCAATACCACCAAGTTTAAAACCACAGTTTAGTCTATAATCATAATTTTTTTCTTACTTTAATACCAAAAAGAAATTAAAAGTACAAAAATACCCTTTCTTACAAAAATATCAATTATATCAAAAAGATTTTGAAATTACTTATTTTAAAACCAATTAAAAGAAAAAGAAAACCTCCCCCTTTGAACCCACCGGTGCCGCCTCCTCCACCGTCGCTCACCGGCCAAATTCAATCTATCCTCACGCCGTCGCCGCCGTTGCCGAGGACGCCCGTAGGCTAACAAATCGCCGCCGCCGCCGTTATCCCAAGTAAGAATTAGTTTCGATTTTTTATTTTGCTTTAATATTGAGTTAGGATTTGATTGTTTGATATGGGTATTTAGGATTTGATTGTTTTAGGTAGGAATGATCGTTATTTAGTAATGGATGCATCTAAATTCAGTCGATTTAAGCATTGATTTGAAATTTCGTGGGTTGTTCTGCGTTTCACAAAAATCGAACTGAAAGTGTCGATTTTGTCAAAATTTTCGACATATTGCCATCGAAAATTATGCATAAATCGGCACCTTCTAGTCAATTTTTATGAATTTGTCGAAATTTATTATAGTTCATTTTCGACGCTACCTGTCGAAAATTATGGCAAAATCGACAAGTTACTGTCGATTTTGCCAACATTTTTGACAGGTTGTTGTCGAAAATTAACTGTTATTTATTTATTTTTATTTTATTTCCTATTATCACAAATTATAGAGATTTACAGAAACTTCTTGTAATATCTCACGCAGTTAATTGGTTTCTACAATGTACCTAGAAATTTTATAGAATGATCAAGAGAGTCACCAACAACCGTATGATTAAATAAATCACACTCATCCATTAAAGACGGAGTAGTATAAATACGAGTAGACACAACCATACATTGTTATATATATTTCTTTCCGTTCAATTCCATTAGTCTTGGGATCATATTTGTGCAGTGGAGTCTAATAATTTGTTATAAGGTTGACTTAAATGTTCGGGGGCAGTGGCCCTAAAAAATACTCGAGTAGACCCTAGCCGTACGGTGGTGTGCCACTGTATTTTTGTATAATGTATTATTATTGCTATTATTTTTATTATTATTAGTTTAAATAAGCAATATTTGATTCGTACAAGGATTAGGGCGAAGTTTGATTGATTATTTATTACTCATCCGTCTCTTTGTTTCTTCAGTTTCACCTTCTCTCCTTGTGTTTTATCGGAGCCCTTTGAATTTATTTATTTTCATCATTGAGAGAAGCCACAAATTACTATGTGTGGGCCCTGATGAGGTAGCAATTAGCTATAGTCAAGTAGTCGTGACCCCTAAATAGGTAGTTATTTCTAGCACAAGCTCGCAGGTCGTGAGTGATTAGATGCTGCAGCTCCGAAATCTTCCTATTTAGTTGTAATAAAGGCAGAGTCCCTAACATATATTGTGGTAGTTCAAGAACATGCTTCCAGTTACGCGAGACCAGAATTGGGGATACGATATTCTGCTACAACTCTACCCACTTTTGGTCCAGTTCAGCGCTCGTCGATGGTGATGGTGCGGGCAGCGGCAACTGGTTAAGTGCCGCCAGCATGGTGTATTCCATTGCGTACTTGATTTCTTGTCGTTGCTCGAGATCTTTGAATAAACGGTCAAAGATAAAAATGTTGAACCATCAAGGGTCACACTACTCGTCCTCGTCATTACGAATGCTAATTCTCGATTTATAATTTCTAAAAGTGGAAACCCTAATCCAGTGGACCTTCTAAATTTGGTAACTTCCAAATTTAGAAAGTTCACTAAGATGTTCGCCTATTCATTTCATTTTCTTATTCTCATTCATAATTCCAAATTACGAATGTTGGACTCAATCACGTTGACTTTCAATCATGCAAAGATTAAACATTTTTATCTTTGACCGTTTATTCAAAGATCTCGAGTGCACGAGCAGTGTGACCCTCGATGGTTCAGGTGTAAGCTAGCCGTGGGTCTACAACTCTTTGTGGTCTAAACTCGTCCCTAGAGTTACGATTAAGATGAAGCTCGTTTCAACTTAATCACCCAACGAATCAAGATTGGTGTCTAGCAACTGCGCGTCATGATTCCCTAGATACAAATGAAGTGCTTGCAAGAACCTTTTGATATAGTTAACGCACAGTACGATCCCTTTGATTCATATGTCCCGATTGAACTAGAGGCATTGGTTCATCGAGACCTCCTTAGTAGTTCAATAACTGTGCGATCATTCTAAGTGTTGTAATCGGTACGTGCATGACTTAGAGAATCGAATTCCCTAATCATCACTTAGTCAGCTCTGGCCAAGGACTTAAAGATTACAAACTATGAGAACACACAGGACATCCAAGACTATTCTAGTGATCGAATCCCCGACTACAATGCACATACCTCCCACTAGATTTCGGACTGCACGAACACTGGCCCTTGGGGCGATCCTCGGTGGAACTCAGGGACAGGTCACGATACAGTTGGTCCTCTAGTGAAGTCACGGCGATGTCTATGTCATAAGTACTAATGGTGTACAACTATACCATAGATATCCTACTCGATTATTGAGAACCATTTAGAGATTTCTATGATGAGGGAGTTCAGTGAACTCGTCAACTTACGAGCACACACTTATGCATGCCGATATCGCAATACCATTTACAGATGAGACACAGTACACATACACAAAGTGCTATTCTCTTAGTGGGAAAGGCCGATATCCGCATTGGTGGCGTAACCCTTCGACTAGGAACATGGTTTAACAGTTATAATACTATAACTTAAGTAATTATCTCACGATCCTAAAAGATCAAATACAAGTAATTGTAATAACTGTAGGGACTATATCTATGTTTGAACAAGGGACAAAGATATAGAATGCCAAGGTGTTTTATCATTAATACGAAAAAAAGATTATTTATCACAAGAATAAATTGAAAGACCACAGTCACAAGTTGGCTTGTTGGTCACCTACTCTAACAATCTCCCACTTGACCTAAATCCAACTATCCATAAATATTAATCCCATCAACTCTCATGTTTCTCGTGGACCGACCTTGGTAAAGGCTTGGTGAAGGTGTTTGCAACGTTCTCTTCCGAGGTGACTCGTTCTACACCGACTTCACCTCTATCAATGATCTCTTGAATCACATGATACTTCCTCAGAATATGCTTGGACTTCTGATGAGATCTCAGCTCCTTAGCTTGCGCCACGGCTCCGGTGTTATCGCAGTACAACGATACTCGATCATTAACATTAGGAATAACACCCAACTCTTGGATGAATTTCCTTATCCAAGTCCCTTCTTTTGCAGCTTCGGACAATGCAATATACTCAGCTTCGGTAGAGGAATCGGCCGTCGTACTTTGCTTGGAACTCTTCCAACACACGACACCGCCATTAAGTGTGAATATAAATCTTGAGTTTGACTTTGAGTCGTCCACATCTGATTGAAAACTAGAGTCGGTAAAGCCCTTTAATTTCAGCTCGGCACCCCCATAGGCCAAAAATATATCCTTAGTTATTCGTAAGTACTTGAGGATATATTTCACTGCCTTCTAGTGAGCTGGACCGGGGTTAGACTGATATCTGCTTGTGACACTCACATCATATGCAATATCGGGTCTAATACATAGCATGCCATACATTATGTTTCATATGGCAGAAGTATAAGGTGTCCTTTTTATCTCCTCGATTTCACTAGGTGTCTGAGGACACATGGATTTCGAGAGACGAACCCCCATGGGACATTGGCAAGAATCCCTTCTTGGATTCTGCCATGCTAAACCGTTTCATAACGGTGTCTATGTACAGGGTATGGGATAAGCCAATCATCTTCCTTGCTCTATCTCTATAGATACGTATTCCTAATACGTAAAATGCTTCTCCCAAATCCTTCATTGAGAAAGGTGTGGACAACCAAGCTTTTGTCTATGGTACAACTATACCATAGAGATCTCTGCTCGATTATTGAGAACCACTTAGAGATTTCTATGATGAGGGAGTTCAGTGAACTCGTCAACTTACGAGCACCCACCTATACATACCGATATCACAATACCGTTTACTGATGAGACGCAATACACATACACTAAGTGCTAGTCTCTTAATGGGAAAGGTTGATATCCTCATTGGTGGCGTAACCCTTCGACTAGGAACATGGTTTAACAGTTATAATACTTAAGTAATTATCTCACGGTCCTAAAAAGATCAATTACAAGTAATTCTAATAGCTGTAAGGACTATATCTATGTTTGAAAAAGGGACAAAGATATAGAATGCCAAGATGTTTTAAGTGTTGTAATCGGTACGTGCATGACTTAGAGAATCGAATTCCCTAATCATCACTTAGTCAGCTCTGGCCAGAGACTTAAAGATTATAAACTATGAGAACACACAGGACATCCAAGACTATTCTAGCGATCGAATCCCCGACTACAATGCACATACCTCCCACTAGATTTTGGACTGCACGAACACTGGCCCTTGGGGTGGTCCTCGGTGGAACTCAGGGACATGTCACGATACAGCTGGTCCTCTAGTGAAGTCGCGGTGATGTCTAGGTCATAAGGACTAATGGTGTACAACTATACCATATATATCTCTACTCGATTATTGAGAACCACTTAGAGATTTCTAGGGTGAGGGAGTTCAGTGAACT